CTTGTGGTTTTTGCACTTTAGCTTTTCTTTTTCTTTTGGAAATTACTAAATATTACTAAAAGATATGGTAATATAGAAGACGTGAATTATGCTTATGATAATATTTAATCTATATATGTTAGTCATAGTGTATTGTTTTCAATTATTTTGGTGATTTAATTTAAATTTACTATCTCAATAAGATACAATTAATTATTTTTACAATATAAGTTTGTACTATGCGACTGAAATTTCAGTTTCATTACAGAAAAAAACTACACACTAATCCATAGATAAGATGAAATTTAAAGAACACTAAGAAAACTTAGACTTGTATTGAGATATACTATTTTTTATCAAGGTTTTGATAGTTCAAGAGTATGGATTTTATTAATCATGAAAGTTTAGAAAACGCATGTAGTTCTGATAAATTTGTTTTCATATTAGAAACTCATATTTACCTACAAAATAAGTTTGAAGTCGTTGTATCTGCAAGAACTCATACGATAATAGCCCTTCGTTCACATCATCAATTTTTCTATACTATAATACACATAATTTAGGGTATCCCTCATTTTCAGGGCACGTACCTCTTGACAAATAGAGCAAAATTTTCTATCCCAGATGTTGTCTTCGATGCAAGACTGAGGTGAAAATGATAAAAAAATGCCTTCTCCATTTCTTCGAGATGCTATGTTCGATCAAGCTGAAAATATTTTTACAGTCACTGAATAGTGTTTGGAATAGGTTTCTTTTTATGCTTTGTCCTTCAAATAGAAAAGTCAAAATACCAAAAGTATCCTTAACAAACACCTATTTTTATGAGTAGAATTTCTTTTACAGAGCTACTAAAAATCATTAGGACAATATTTTTTGAAATCAAAAAAAAAAAAAACATTACCCATCCGAAACAATGCATAGTATCCGTGAAAAATTTTCTGCTTCTATCATACTATGAAGAAACGAGGGTGTTTTTCTTCACTTTTTTTTCATGAAGTAGTTCTTTTGAGAAAAGCACGAGACAATATACAGTTTTCGATAATTTAATTTCTTAATGTTTTTTACGTTTCAGCAATAACTTTTGGATCCCAAAATGTTCTTACTAAATAGATACTACTTCAGACTATACAATGGCTATAAAAAAACAGTTGCGTCACGAAAGGGAGTGGAATACTCTTATTTCAACAATTTGGAGCTTTTCTTCACGATAACTGATTATTCACCGTTAAAAATATTATTAATCTTCCAGTGACTTAATCTTATTAGAAAAAAAAAACAATTTCGTTAATGATGGATTTATATGTAATTTTTATATAAGGGGACAACAGATTGACTGTTTTAGTATGTACCTGAGACATAGGAACAAATAATTATACTTATTCAAATTGCTGAATAAGAAGTATTTTGTCTTCAGTTTTAGATTCAATTTATTATTAGTTTGATATACGAGCAACGAATTAAATTCTGTAGATTTGAAATATTCTGAATGGCAAATAAAGATCAAGGTCGATGTTTTGTATGTAATGATGTTGCAATTGGTATTAATTTTGGCGTGCCAACCTGTATGCCATGTAAAGCATTTTTTCGACGAAATGCATCTCAACTTGGTGTAAGTTAACTTTTGATCTGGAATTATTTTCGAAGTTTTTCTTCTTTAAAGTCTCGTGAATTTGTATGTCAAAATGATGGTGATTGTATAATAACATATACATGTCGTCGTTCATGTAATTGTTGTCGTTTAGCAAAATGTTTTCGCGTTGGAATGAAAAAATCCTTTATACTTACTGATGAAGAACGTGAAGCTCGAAATAAACTTGTCGCAACAAACCGTCTCAAACGTGGAAAAGTACCAAAACAACGACCTATACAATGGGTATGTAGTATTTATACATATGCATAATTGAAAATTTCAAACTAGATTTTATTTTCTAAGCCTGAATAAAAAAAGTATTGAGATAATGATTTGGTTATGTTACATGCCAATGCTAAATTAAAATTAAATTCTATGCATGCTTAAACTACGATATAGAAAAGATAAGATGGAATCGTCATACATTATAAAATAAGCATTGAACTATTCGATGAGAAATCTATACACACCCATGATAGATAGAATGAAAAAAATGTGTTGGCTTCAAAACTGACAACGTCTGATATAGAAAAGATGTGCACTGAAATTAAACATTTTAGAAGTGTTTAAGAGTGTGATATAGTTGAAATCGTGCTAGAATTTGTTACATATGCACTATTATTGATTAGTATTGTAAGCTTTTTTTCACTTATTAGCTATGCCGATGGCCCCGATTAAAATGTTTTTAATGTATTTCTCTCGATATATATCAAAAGAATTTTAACAAAGCATAGAAGAGAACTCTGGCAAACTAGAAAACCGATTGAAACGTGTAAATCCACATGTTTCGTTTTTGAGATTTTGATTGTCACCACGCAGGATACATCTTAGTCGATGTTAGAGATAGGCGGAACTAATTTTAGTTTCAGCGAGTGAGTTCAGGACTACGAAAAAAAAGTTGTCTCAACCGGTACTGAAGATTATAATTCAGTTTTTTATGGTTTTAACCAAATAATGTAATAAATCACATTCATTAGAACATAATAATTCAAGAGAGATGACCCAAACAAATTGCTAGTCATCGATTAAAGATGTGATATAAATATATTATGGAATAGTTTTCTTTAGATCGAAACCAAAACAAACTTCGTCTCACATATCTTTAGTTGATGTTTAATATTTTTGATGTGTTGTAAGTTCAATTAGTGAAGAACAACTAAAACTGAGCAAGAAAAGTGATTGAGATTTAACAAAACTTTTACTAAGAGTTTAATCTCATCACATTCTTATTGTTCTGTAGAAAACAACAAGAATAATTTTTCGCCCTAAGTACTAATTGTAAAATACACAAACACATGTGTAGGCCAAATCGGAACATATTAGTTAGATCTCTATTAGTTCTCTTCAGCGTCATAGACGAAATATTAAAATCTCACTTACTAACATAAATCAGTAGAAATGTTTTCATAGTCTACAAATAATTCTTACTGTTTTACTTCTATATTTTTTCTGATAATTTAAAATATTGTGTTTTCGTTTAATATCTATAAATTTATTAGAAATATATATTTCTTTCTATTAACAGATGCAATCACCAAGATTACTTGGCATAC